GAAGATGTTTTCATTTAAAGGAGAGACTAGGACCCGAGGGCACAGCCTTAGAGTAAAGGGAAGACCTTTTAGAATGGAGATAAGGAGAAACTTCTTCAGCCAGAGAGTGGTGAATCTATGGAATTCACTGCCACAGAAGGCTGTGGAAGCCAGGTCATTGAGTACATTTAAGACTGAGATAGATAGGTTCTTGATTATCAAGGGGATCAAGGGTTACGGGGAGAAAGCAGGAGAATGGGGTTGAGGAACTTAGCAGCCATGATTGAATGGCAGACCAGACTCGATGGGCTGAATGGTCTAACTTCTGCTCCTATGTCTTATGGTCTTATGAAGAAGGTGTTTGGTTTGCTTGCTGTAATTGGTCAGTTTATCAGTTATAGGAGTTGGGAGGTTATGTTGTGGCTGAACAGGACATTGGTGAGGCCACTTTTGGAAAACTGCAGTTCTGGTTTCCCTGCTATAAGAAGGATGTTGTGAAACTTGAAAGGGTTCAGAAAAGATTTACAAGGATGTTGCCAGGGTTGGAGGGTTTGAGCTATAGGGAGAGGCTGAAATGGGTGGGGTTATTTTTCCTGGAGAGTCAGAGGCTGAGGGGTGACCTTAGAGAAGTTTATAAAATCATGAGAGGTACTGGTAGTGCAAATAGACAAGGTCTTTTCCCGGGGTGGGGGAGTCCAAAACTAGAGGTCATAGGTTTAAAGTGAGAGGGGAAGGATTTAAAAGGGACCTAAGAGGTAACTTTTTCATGTAGAGGATGGTGCATGTATGGAAAGAATTGCCAGAGGAAGTGGAGGAGGCTGGTACAATTACAACATTGAAAAGGCATCTGGATGGGTACATGAATAGGAAGGGTTTAGAGGGATTTGGGCCAAATGCTGGCAAATGGGGCTGGATTAATTTAAGATATCTGGTCGGCATGAACGAGTTGAACTGAAGGTCTGTGCTTTACATCTCTATGAGTCTAATCTGAAATATAAAGCTTGTCCCAGCACTTGGCAGCCATGAGAACTATCATTGTAAAATCTCATCTGGTTCACCATTATCCTTCAAAGAAGGAAATTTGCTGCCTTTACTCGCTCTGGCCTCTGACTCCAGATGCTCCACAACATGGACCTGCCCTCTGAAAGCCATTCAGTTCAAGGGTGATTAGGGATGGGCTATAAAAGCTGGTCCTTGCCAGTGGTGCCTGTGTCCATGAAAGAATAACAAAAGAGAATCAGGTCTCATCAGTGAAGAGAGAAGCAATTCAAATGGGTGAAATATGCTGGACATTCAAACTATTAAATTTCCCGTAGAATCATAGAATCCCTATAGTGTGGAAGCAGGACATTCAGCCCATTGAGTCCTTACCAACCCTCCAAAAAGCATCCCACCCAGACCCATGCCCCCACCGTACCCTCGTAACCCTGCATTTCCCATGTCCAATCCACCTAACCTGCACATCTTTGGAATATGGGAGGAAACTGGAGCACCCAGAGGAAACCCATGCAGACACAGGGAGAATGTGCAAACTCCACACCGACAGTCACCTGAAAGTGGCATTCCATGGCATTCACAAATCAGGGACACCCATGAGTTGGCAGGGATGTGCAATCTTGTCAGGCATATTTTAAGGACATACTAAAACAGTTGCGTTACCCTGCTGGGAGTTCACTGCTGCAACCGAGTTTCAAGTAGAACAGCTCTTTTAGAAATCTGACGTTGGGCATATCCTGCAACACAGAGCTTGTTTTGAGTGATTAAAAGCTGAGGGGAGTAGGAGTAAGTTATCCTGGGAGAGAACACCACTGTTGGGAGTGCCATGCTTGCTGTATTTGGAGGATCTTGTGGTAACTAACGGTAGTTCTCCAGCACTTGATATAGATTGTCCATGCCTCTAAAGCACTTAAGAGAGCAAGTACCACTGCCTGACAAACTATGACCTTAGTCACAAGAACCAATTCCTGAGATGTCTCCCATAACGATCTGTGATCAGCGTTTGATCAGTTTTGGTGGAGCACAGGCATTTGGAATAAAGCACATTAGGCCAACACTCTGACTTGTTTCCATCTCTGTGCGCTTTTCCTGTGGGCTGACTCCCGGCTGTAATAGCTAAGCACCTTTAGGCAGCGGGTAGCCATTTAAGATACTTAACTGGACAACTAGTCCCTATTCTGTTAAAATAGAGATATTTTCTTGGTGCCATGGGCTTCCTGCTGCACCAGGAACCTAGCAATGAATTGGAGATAGCCTCAGAGTAGCAGTCTGAATTTTAGTATGTGATAGAAACATAGAACAGTAGGAGCAGGAGTAGGCCATTAGACCTTTCAAGGCTGCTCTACCATTCATTATGATTGTGACTGACCATCCAACTCATTAACCTGTTCCTGCTTTAGTCCCATATCCTTTGATACCTTTAGCACCAAGGGCTATATTCAACTCTTTCCAGACATCATACAATGTTTTGGCCTTGACTGCTTTCTGTGGTAGTGAGTCCCATAGGTTCATCACTCTCTGGGTGAAGGGATTTCTCCTCATATCAGTCCCAAATAGTTTACCCAGTATCTTTAGATGTGACTGTGAACTTTCAACATTGAATAATTGTGAGCAGGTCTGTCACAGTAGATCCACAGACGTTCGGAGATAATTCAAATGATACTGTTTAGAGCTTTGTTTAGGTGCTTACAGATTGTGCCCTCTTGCTCTCTAACCAATCCCTTATCCAGTGGGATTGCCAATGAGCAACTCCCTTTGGCCCCTCCCATATCTGTGCACTACCTACAGTCCCTCAACGTCACGTTTTGCCATTAATTGGCTGCCCTCCCGTTAATGTAGGCCAGCACTGAGCCTCCAGGAAGCATTGGCATCAGCTTACTGACACTAGTCAGAAAATTCAGCTCTGCATATCCCAGTGATGCCTAGCAGAGCATCAAGGCTCTACATGTTGTTGCGTTTGCGCAAAGTGAGAGAATGTGAATCTTTATGCAACTGATTGAAATGGGTTCTTAGGATACACCTGAGGATGGTGTAATTCTGTTGCTGTGTGGTCACTTCTTCAAGAGAGACGTGTTTCATTTGTCCTGATATTTTTAGCCTTCAGTGATCTGATTAGGCAAAGAAACTAAATTCGAGTGGCTGTTGGACCTTTAATAAAAGCCACATTGTTGAGGCAACCAACAATCTGTTAACTGAGGAAAGGTCACCGGACCTGAAACGTTAATTCTGATTTTTTTCTTCACAAATGTTGCCAGACCTGCTGAGCTTTTCCAGCAACTTCTGTTTTTGTTCCTGATTTACAGTATCTGCAGTTCTTTCGGTTTTTATCTGTTAACTGACTTGTTTATAATTCATTGACAGGATATGAGCATTGCTAGCTGGGTCAACATTTATTACTCATCCCGAATTGTCCTGGAGAAGATGGTGCTGAGCTGCCTTTTTGAACTACTTTAGTCCTTGTGTTGTAAGTACATCACTGTGCTGTGGGGCCATTTTGACTTTCTATATTTTGACTCCCTGACAAATGAAAGAATGAGATATCTTTCAAAGTCACAATGGTGTGTGATTTGTCAGGGAATCTGCAGATGGTGTTGTTCCCATGTATCTACAGCCCATGTCCTTCTAGGTGGTAGCGGTGGTGGGTTTGGGAGGTGCTGCTTAAGGTAAGTTGATGCAGAGCATCCTATGGATGGTACACACTGCTGCCACTGTTCATCAGTGGTGGAGGTTGTGAATGTCTAAGGTGGTTGGATGAATTAATCAAGTAGGTTGCTTTGTCCCGGATGGTGTCAAGCTTCATGAGTGTTGTTGGAACTGAATTCATCCAGGTAAGTGGGGAGTGTATTCCATCCCATTCCTAGCTTGTGCCTTGTGCCTTGTTTGTTGTCAACAATGTAGTCATCAACATGCTATGGTCTTGTGCATTGTATGCTCCATACTGTGTGCACCACTGAAATATATTAAAAACTGACCATGTATTATCTCATTAGATAGAGGTATGACAAGTGGCCTATTCACACTAGCTTTGGCAGCACTAGAAAACAAGATTAGCTAGATTAAGGAATAAGTCATATCTAGGCCCCTTCCATTTTAGCTGTAAATTCTAGACCACATATTCATATATTCTTTTAAAGGACTATGCTTCATATTAAATTTCACAATCACTGTTTTCATTTGCAGATTCCATCATTTTTTTTTCAAAAATGTCCCTGGCTACTTATCCTCCTCCTGCTTTAGCATCATCTGCAAATCTGGCCTATCAGTGTTGCATAAGAGTTCTGAATCTGTGTCATTAATCTGTGTTAAGAATAGTTACTGTTCCACCAACGTTCTGGCCTCTCCAACCACAAACTCCTTCCCTGTTCAACATCACCCTTCCACCACTTGACACTGAAATTTTAGTTCATGCATTTAAGAAATGTGACAAAGGCTTTCTTTTGGTAATCTAAGTGATTTTCCACTATTCCAGTTAGGATGTCACATTCTCAAAAACATCAAGCAGGTTTCGGCAGAACTTTCATCTTGTTGAAGCCAAGTTGGTTATTACTAAATAATTACCATTGAGGCAATCCTCAAATTTTCTCTTCATAATTGACTCTATTGTTTTGTTTGTTATGGCCACAGAACTGATGCGTCTGTAATTTGGCTGATTTACATTTGACTCCATTCTTGAGTACAAGTACTGTGCTTACTCATAGAGTTGTGTAGAAAATTACACTCCATTCAATTTTGCTTGAAGTTCCAAGAGGCATTTTTAAAATGTTACTTCCAATGTTCTGGGATTGTGATCACAAATGATGTAGGTATCAAGTGAAATGTCAAACAATGTTAATCTTCAAACCTTATTCACAGTCCCCTCGGGTACTTTTTAATGCCAAACTGATTAATCAAGATCTTCATTCAGACATATACAAACAGCCTTTAGTGATCAAGGTCAATATTTATTGAGACATTTTAGCTTGAAAACATCTGTATGAAATTTAACACATTAGATTTAACCAATTTAACCAGACTTAATAGGTCAAAGGAAGTATGGTGTAGGTCATTGTTCACAATATAATTCTTGTCACAAATTTTTTTCAATATATCTTCACATCCCATTTGATGAAATGTACACAAAATACAGTGAGGTTCTTGAGAAAATGCAGAGCTAGTAAAATGAGTTTTATATGTGTTTTAAATTTGGGCTTTCTAACCTATTCCTGTTTTCACCATCTTATCAGATAAGGATGATCCAAGATAGACAAGTAGCAGGTAGCTTACCAGTGCTGGGTGCTTGTAACCTCTAAATGAGTTGAGCTGCTAACACTCTGGCTGTATTCCTGAGTATACCTGGTTCTTAAGCCTTGGCATGTTCCAACCTGCACTTAAATTCTCTTGGTTTAGGGAAGTAGGATGCATTCCTACAGGGATTGAATATACCCTCCACATAGCAGGTTAAACAGAAGCTCCACATATTGTGTTAGACTTCCACAACAGCTGGTTCCACCAGAATAAAATTCAATCTTCCATCTATACTCTCAAAATCCCAAAAATTTGCAAGTGATGTCTACCACTGGTGTGGTGATTATTCATTGTCTAGTCATTGAGATACAAATCCTGCCAATCACAATGATGATAAAAATCGGTAGTCAAAAGGTCAGTTTTAACAGTTGCTTGTTGAAGGTCCACTTCATGTTTCTTCATTCACAAAGAGGTTCCACAGCCAAATAAACCTCTCTGTTGGGACAGATTCCAAAGCCGAGGTGTGGTTACCTACGGCGGGGGTGGGATCTGCACACCCAGGAGGTCATATGCAAAAATGTTCCAGAAAATTGCGAACACAACAAAGATGGCGTACGAGAAGACCATGACCCACCAGGCACACTGCTGGTGGAGATTCTCCTCATAGCTGCGCAGGATGATGAGTCCCATACTGATTCCCACCACTGCACCAGCCAGATGTGCCATGAAGCTGGGCTGGGGACCAGAAGAAGGAAGTGGAGGGGAGAAACGGAGCCATACAGCACGACCAACCTCAGAGCTCACTGCCAAAATGAAACAGAATGCAAATTTAAAATTTCAAAACATGGAACAAAACAGCTGGACAGTCTAGAGTTTTGAAGAATGGTGGGGTGGGTGGCGCGATCTCATAGAAATCTATTGCATTCTACAAGGACTAGACAGTGTAAAAGGAGGAAGGATGTACTCAACGACTGGGCAGTCCAGATCTAGGGGTCGCAGTCTAAGGATAAGGGGTTGGTATCTTAGGACTGAGATGAGGAGAAATTTCTTCATCCAGAGAGGGGTGAGCCTGTGGAATTCTAAGCCACAGAAAGCAGTTGAGACCAAAACATTGAAAATTTTCAAGAAAAAGATAGATACAGTTCCTAGGGCTAAATGGATCAAAGGATACGGGGAGAAAACAGGATTAGGGGACTGAGCTGGATGATCACTTGTAACCATATTGAATGGTGAAATGGGCTCATTGAGTGAGTGGCCTGCCCCTACTCCTACTTTCTATATTTCTGTGTTTCTAAACTCGGTTGATTAAGTTCTGGAAGGAATTTCATATGAGGAGAGTTTGAGTAGGTTGGGTCTGTACTCATTGTAATGTAGAAGAACGAGAGGCGACCTTATTGAAACATACAATGCTATTAGAGGTTTGACAGGGTAGATGCAGAGAGGTTGTTTCCCCTTGTGGGAGAGTCTGGTACAAGAGGGCATAATTTCAGAATAAGGTATTGCCCATTTAAAATAGAGATGAGGAGGACTTTTTCTCACAGAAGGTGGTATTCTTTACTCCAGAGGGCTGTTGAGGTTGAGTCGATAAGTATTTTTAAGGCTGACATAGATTTTTATTCAGTAGGGGAATCAAGGGATAGGGGGAAAAGGCAGGAAAATGGGGTTGAGGATAATCACATCAGCCATGATCTCACTAAACACTGGAGTTGACTCAATGGACTGAATGACCTACTTCTGCTCCTACACCTTATGGTCTAAACTGCAACGTTGTCCTTCTATTTTATAAATTTCCAGATGAAACATGAATTACATTATTCCAACCCTCTGCATATAAAAAGGTTTGGCACCTTGGAATGTTAACTGAAATGGACAGGAAACTCTTTGGTTTGTTGGAGGTAACATCTGATAATTTGAGGCTCTGTACAGTGGGAGTGAATGGGATGTTGTTTCCACTTTGCAATCCTATACCTTCATCAGAATATATGTTAACAAAAGGTTGACTTTGTCAAGCTTGCTGGAAAGGGAAAAACCATGGACATTTTGAGGTATCTCATCCAAAGACAACAGGGTGGTTTGTGATAGTCAACTGAACATAGTACACTATGACTTGCTGCCCCATTCAGTTAGTTTTATGGCCAGCCTTAATTCCCAAGGATCTACCGCAGAGAGCCTGTTGGATCTTTGTAATATGCACGTTGGGATGTGACAATTTACGAAGGACCTGGAGTGTCTATTTTAGGACTTAACTGTGCAAAGCATGCACCATATGCACACTGCACAATTTTAGCTGGTGTTCAAGCCAAAGAGGAACCTAGAAGGTACATCTGTATTTATTTATGTAGCACCAAGGAGGAGCAGTATCTACTGCACTCAATAGAAATACTTGGCTCTTCCAACCTTAGACCTACCGTATACTAGGTCCAGAACAGGCCCTACACTCCACAATGCTCATTTAACATTCACAGCCTCCCAGCTTGATAGTATTAAGCAAACATATTAAAAATTTTCCTGTAAAGTAATTAACCTGCACAGAACAGGTAGAATGTTTTCAAGAGTTTTCATGTCCAATTAGTATTGAAATTATAATTTGTGATGTTGGGGAAGGGAGGTAAATAATTACTGCAGGGTGCAAAGTTATTGAAAGGAAGATACTTACTGCAGACAAGGGCCAAGATCATTCGAAGTAGTTTATAGGGGCACCTCATTCCAGCCCAATTCTGAAAGATAATAGACAACATGCTGTGACATACTTAGATGCTGTTATTCCCTAGTTATGCTATAAGCGTTGGCTTTGACACTTCACCTTTAAAGGTTCAAGACTAAGTCCAGACTTTGAGAACGTATTCTAGTGCTCAGTTGAGATCATTTTTGTCAGTGCAAGCATTCAGATGAAAGACTAAACCAAGGGTCTCAGGTTAGTGTAAAAGATCCTTCCGTGTCATCAGAAGAGGAGCAGTGGAATTCTTTCAGTAACCTGGGCAATGTTCCTCTCTCAGCCAACACATCCAGGAACTAACTCATTGGTGTTTATTCTTGTTCCTCAGCACAAATCGGCCACTCTACCTGTCATTAAAACAACAACTCCTCTTTTCAAAATTATTGAACTAGTTATGTAGCACTTTGGGAAGTCTCAAGGACACAAAAGATCTGATGTGGAATAAGGCCAGCTTCACACATTAGAGCTTTATGTATCATATGGACTTGGTAAGGTGGTGTGGGCTTACACAACAAACACCTGGGTTCCATTGGGAAATTTGCAGTTTGTGATGATACCTGAATTTTGCAGGAGTAAAAGTGTAGCTGTCAGCGTTCTAGATCATAATGAAATAAATCAGACAGCAGCTTTCAACACAGAAACCCAGAAATTGCAGGCAAAAATACTTGGTATGTCCACAAGGGTGTGCTATAACAGTCCCCATCAATAGACTTGGCATTGAAATGGTTGCAATGGCCAAAACGTTGAGGCACTATCAATTAATTTCCCACTAACCACACTCAAATAAGTTAGAACTGGTGCATTCAGGAGTAAGTGAGTTTTTTTGATGGTGTGATAATTAGTGCTAAATGACCTCTCTGGCCCCAATAATTCAATTTTACAAGTGTGGATCCTCATTCCTTCAGAAGTCAATTAATACTCCGCAAATCTGACTGAAACATCCTTACTCAGTCCTACAGAGACTGAACCAAGAAGTGTAAATTAGAATATTCAGTTCAATATCAAGTAATATACAGAAAGCGAAATAAAAATAGATTGATTAAGAAAGAAAAAGAAAAATGAGGCATTAATAATTCGGTTTTTAAAAATTTCACATGATCTCCATTAAACTCTGAAGGAATGCAATTCCACACACAGCATCAGAGAGGTCATTGCACCGTTAAAAAATTATTTATATTCAAATGGACAAGCTCAAACTTTGTTATGGGGAATTCTGTGGATATCTATCACATGAGTATGGCAACAGCATGCTGTTTCATGTATCTTAATGCCAAGCCTGTCATGGTATATACTGATGCAGTAAGTCCCTGTTTAAAATGGATTCACTTCATCTTGTTTCACTTCAACAACAAATTGATGGCAGTATAATCATTTAATGTTGTGAGTTTCAGTTTAAAGTATTTCCCTACAGATGTCCTGTGCGACCTGCCTGCTCTCAAGACCCTTCACCATGTTTCTGCTTCCGCCCTCTGTCCCCTTCACCTTCTCCCTGTTCCCACTGCCTTCAGACCATCTTCACCACTCACTGGCTCCTGTTCCCACCTTCTGTTCTTACGTCTAAAGAAATCTCCCGTGTCTATTTCTGTCATGGTCATTTAAAACTGCATTATGTGAACTTAATTTTAACACTTATTTCTGATAGTTGCATTTATATTGTACTTATTGCATTTTTTTAATAACTTAAAAGTTATTTTATTTATGAATGTAAATATTTGGGAATGTACACTATCTCAATTTAATACTGTCTTAAAGTTTTTTTTGCTGCAATAGATCCTGAAGTACCTTACTATCCTTTTATATTTGGTCATTTAATTTAGTTTGCAAATTATTTCAGCCAGGAATACACAGAACCACACACATACTGTACAGTATTTCAACCATTCCATTGTATCTTCTGAACAAAAAATTTCAGCATGAACCCAACTTTGGCTCTAATACTGATTCCTTAAAGTTGCAATTTTCAGGCATTTAAAAACCATAAATTTAAATGAGGAATTCCCTTATAGTAATGTTTCTGAAGGATTAAGGTCCATTAGATAACAACTTCCTGATTCCTGATGCAGGGAGGTGATGGCCTGGTGGTATTATTGCTGGACTTAATCCAGAGACCCAGATAATGTCCAGGGGACCCAGCTTCAAACCCTGTAATGGCAGATGGTGGAATTTAAATTCAATAAAAAAATTTGGATTTAAGAGTCTAATGATGATCATGAACCCATTGTTGATCATTGGAAAAACCCATCTCGTTCACTAATATCCTTTAGAGAAGGAAACTGCCATCCTTACCTGGTCTGGACCACATGTAACTCCAGACCCACAGCAATGTGGTTGACTCTTGACTGTCCTCTGGGCAATTAGTGATGAGCAATAAATGCTGGCCTGGCCAGTGATGCCTTCATCAATGAATGACGAAAAGAAACTGCCTGTCTGGTCAACAGATGTTCTGAGGTCCAATCCTACTGGTCTCTAAATGTTAACTGTTTCTCTCTCCACAGGTGCTGTCAGACTTGCTGAGATTCTCCAACAATCTCTATATTTGTGCCAGAAACTGCTGCTGGATTTACAGTTTAATATCCAAGAAAGTTGGTGACCTCTCCAGTGTTCATTCATGGAATCTTGGTCATTGTATATTAGAATGAGAACCAACTAGCATTTCTGTTAGCAAGTAATAATAAGCAGTAAATAAAAACCGAAAGAACTACGGATGCTGTAAATCAGGAGCAAAAACAAAGTTGCTGGAAAAGCTCAGCAGGTCTGGCAGCATCTGTGAAGGAGAAAACAGAGTTAACGTTTCGGGTCCGGTGACCCTTCCTCAAGCAGTAACTTGCGTGCTTCCAATTCAATTTCACAATGAGCCTAATTCCTCCTCTCCCTCTCTGTCCATCCACCATCAATTACATTTTTTATTAGACAGAGCTAGCTGGGCATTACAAGTGTTTAGCGCTTGGTCCTGTTGTCTTTTTTACGAGACAAACACAGAAATATTCCACTGGTACAAAAGGTAAAGTCACCTGGTATCAAGAGTACGCTGGCAAGATGGATACAGAACTGGCTTAGTCACAGGAGACAGAGGGTAGTGGTGGAAGGATGCTTTTTGGAATGGAGGGTTGTGACTAGTGTGGTTCCACAGGGATCAGAGCTGAGACCTCTGCTGTCCTTGGTCTACTTAAATGATTTGGAGGAAAATGTGGCTGGTCTAATTGCGGACAATACAAAGATTGGTAGAGTTGTGAGTAGTGAGGAAAATTGTCAGAGGATACAGTGGGATATAGATCAGTTGGAAGCAATGGGCAGAAAAATGGCAGACGGAGTTTAATCCGGACAAATGTGAACTGAAAATTATACAGTGTTTCATAATTCAATATTTCATAACTTAAGGTACACAAATTTATAGAAAAAAAGTTATTTAAATATACAAGAGACTCTATGATAAATAGTATGCATTAGCTTTTATGAGACACAACATTAAAACCTCAAGTAAGATGCTTCTGTCTCATTATTGTGGTTGTAAGGTTGTACAGCATGTAAAATATTATGACAGCAGATTCCATGTGGACCATAATATAAGCAAATTCCTTAAGGTAAAAGACATAATGAGAATCTAATGCTAACTTAATGCTAAATTTTTGATATGTTACAATCTTGGACAATACCATCACATTTCTGATCTGATCAGTATAAGGACGCGTAACTTTTTGTTTAAGGTAAAGACAAAGTCTAAGATTTTATACACTGGAAGATAACTAGACTTAAACAGCATCCAAGTCTAAACTAGTAACATGAGATTCCAGATACTTACCAGGAGAAAAATGCCAAAGATTCCACTTTTAAAAAAAACTATACCAAACAAGTTAGAAATGTAAAACAATATACCTACATGACATATTTTAATATCCGGAATTAACATGAGGCAACTATGGGTCAACAAATTTTTTTATTCACTCATGCAACATTGGTGTTGCTGGCTGGGCCAGCATTTATTGCACATCCCTAATTGGCCTTGAGAAGGTGATGTTGAGTTGTCTTCTTGAACCGCTGCGGTCCATGTGCTGCTTGTGACATTAGGGAGAGAATTCCAGGATTTTGAAGCAGCAACCGTGAAGGAATGGCAATATACTTCCAAGTCAGGATGGAGAGTGGCTTGGAGGGGAACTTGCAGGTGGCAGTGTTCCCATGTATATGCTGCCCTTGTCCTTCTAGATGGTAGTAGTCTTGGGTTTAAAAGATGCTCTTCGAGGATGATTGATGAATTTCTGCAGAGCATCTTGATATACACTGCTGCCACTGAATATTACTGATAGTGTGAATGTTTGAGGCCACACAAATTAAGTGGGTTGCTTTGTCCTGGATAGTGTTGAGCTTCTTGAATGTTGCTGGAGTTGCACTCATCCAGGCAAGTGGGGAGTATATCATCACACTCCTGACTTGTGCCTTGTAGATGGACATGCTTTGGGGAGTCAGGAGGTAAATTACATGCTGCAGGACTCACAGCCTCTGATCTGCTCTTGTAGCCACAGTGTTTATATGGAATTATAGAATCCTACAGTGTGGAAGCAGGCCATTTGGCCCATCGAGCCCACATGGACCTTCCAAAGAGCAACTCATCCAGACACACCTCCTACACTATCCCTGTAACTCTGCATTTCCCATGGCTAATCCACCTAGCCTGCACATCCCTGGTCACTCTGGGCAATTTAGCATGGCCAATCCACATAACCTGCAATAGAATCATACAGACCTTTGGTCAAACCTGTCCATGCCAAACATTATTCCAAACTAAACTAGTCTCACCTGCCTGTCCTTAGCCTATATCCCTCCAAACATTTTTTATTCATGTACTTATCTAAACATCTTTTAACCATTGTAACTGTACCCGCATCCACCTCTTGCTCTGAAATTTCACTCCACACATGAACTCTGGGAAAATAAGTTGCCCCTCATGTCCTTTTTAAAATCTTTCTGCTCTCAACTTAAAAATATGCCCCCTAGTCTTGAAATTCCCCACCCAAGGGAAAAGACATCTGCCATTCACCTTATCTATGCCCCTCATGATTTTATAAATCTCTATAAGCACAACCTCTTATGCTCCAGTGAAAAAAGTCTTTTGACTGTGGGAAGTAACCCACTCACGCAGGGAGGGCATTCAAACTACAGTTGCCCGAGTGTGGAATTGAACTCAAGTCCCTAGCACTGCAAGACACCACTGAGCCACCATGCTGCCCCAAATGGCTAGTCCAGTTCAGTTTCTGGTCAATGGTAAGCTCCAGAATGTTGATAGTGGGGTCTCAGCAATAGTAATGCCGTTGAATGTCAAGGGGTGATAGTTAGATTCTCTCGTGTTGGAAATGGTCATCACCTGGCACTTGCATAGCATGTACATTACTTGTTATTTATCAACCCAGATCTGAGTATTGTTCAGGTCTTGTTGCAATTGGAAATGAACTGCTTCAGTATCTTTAGAAGGCGTGAATAGTGCCAAACATTGTGTAATCATCAGCAAATATACCCAAATCTGACCTTATGATGGAGGAAGTGCCATTGGCGAAACAGTTAAGATGGTTGAACCTTGGTCTGCTCAACACTGGTTGAATACCCAACACAGCACAGATCCCATGGATTTCTCAGCAACTAACTGAGATACTAATCTCTCCTTTACAAGAGATTCCAAATCTTCAGTTTTGAGGATCTAGCCTCAGAATTCCCTCAAAAGCCATTCTGTCATTGACTGCCTCAAAGACTGCTCACATCTGTGTAGTTCAATCCCTTCTCCTGAGATTGCTTGCATGCCCAATTACCAGCACGATTTTAGCTTTCTAGTAAACAGCTGGTTTCACTAAGCTGGTGCTTCCCCTGAATTTTCCTGAGCTCCCAGGCCCTGTTTTATTGGTATTCTTTCCTACCTGAGCTAACCTCTGAGACTGCATCCTGTATTTGGGCCAGGCTGTACTCTAGTGTCTAAATACAGGCATGATCGTAGCTCCTCAGCCACACTTGGCAACAATCACTTACCTCCCAGCTTCTCAGTCGCTTCTCCCAAGACTTTATCCCACTTGCCTTTACAATTCAGCCTCTAGTCATTGCCACAGTTCAAGATCTGAGCATGGGCTGTCCTTTCCCCCAGCTGCATGGAATCAACTAACAGCAGCACTTTACCAGCATACAATAACCTTCTTTGACTCTCTCTCTCTTAACTGACTGTTCAGTTGCTGTTCAGTGATCCTTGAACTGTTCTGAATGATCTCTTAAAACACTCTAGCAGAGTCCCATTCCTGTACCTAAGCAACATTCCATGCACCAGATTTCATAGTGCACAGGAATACTGCTAGAATGGATTTTTACCTCATTCAAAAATGTTAACTAGTTAAGGAAACCACAAAAACTTTGCTTGCTTACCATTAATTGTTATATTTTGTAGCTTTATGTACATATCTAAAATCAATAGGTTGAAATTCGCACTAACATGGTGAAGTGTTTCAGACAGAGCTATGAAGAGTTTGTATTCTGCTGTTCTAACATAGAAACAAAGCAAAACGGACTATAGGAACAGGAATAGGCCATTCTGCCCATCAAGCCTGCTGTGCCATTCAATATGATCATGCCTAATCATTCAACTCAGCTGCCTGTTCCCACTTTCTCTCCATATCCTTTCATTCTTTTAGTCCTAAGAGCTATATCTGCATTCTTCTTGAAACTCTTCATAATATTTTGCCCTTGAGTGTCCTGTGGCAGAGGTTTATCTCTCTCTCTCTCTCTCTCTCTGGTTGAAGAAATTTCTCCTCATCTCTGTCCTAAAATGCCAACCCCTTATCCTTAGACTGTGACCCCTGGTCTGAACTAACCCATCATTGAGAACGTCCTTCCTGTATTTACCTGTCAAATCCTGTTGGAATTTAAAGGTTTTCTATGAGGACTCCGCCCCACCCCACCACCCTTTCTTCTAAAATCTACTGAAAATAGTCCTAATCAATCCAGTCGCTGCTCATATGTCAGTCCTACCATCCCAGGAATCAGATCGATAAACCTTTGTTGCACTCCCTCCATAGCATTCTTCAGATAAGGAGACCAGAACTGCGCACAATACTGCAGGTGTAGTCTCACTAAGGCCCAGTACAATTGCAGCAAGACATCCCTGCTCCTGTACTCAAATCCTCTCGCTATGAAGGACCACATACTACTTGCCTTCTTCGCCTCCTGCTGCATCTGCAAGTTTACTTTCAGCAACTTGTGTACAAAGACACCCATGTCTTGTTATACCTCCCCCTTCCCCAACCTATCACCATCCGACAACAAAAACAGAAATTGCTGGAAAAGCTCAGTAGGTCTGGCTGCATTTGTGGGAAAAATTAGTTAATGTTTTGGGGCCAATGACACTTCCTCAGAACATATCACCATTTAAATTAGGGAAGGGGATGGTGCAAGGAGACCTGGGTGTTCTACAGCATAACTTCCTGATGTGTTTGGTGAACTGATAACTTTTTGATGTTACAAAATTGATTATCAACCCACTCCTTTTAAAATGCAAAAGTTTCATTTTTCATATTTATCAGCAATGGCAACAAAAGAGTCAGCAATGTTAAACTTCTTTAAATAAGACAATTGAATTTAATTCTTTTGAATAAAATAGAACCATGGAGCTTTTTATGGAACTTTGATGGTCACACCATGTGCCTAAATCCAGGTGCTGGAGCTGTCACTTCATTTCATCTCAACAGATCAAAACAGGGGACCACAGGCTTTCGGCAAAATCTTTGTTCAAGCTTCAACCACCAGATGGCACCAACATGCTGAGGCCCTGCAGTGGATAAGCAAGCTTATGTATTTTCAATCAACCCCTCTGGAGGAGGCGGGACTTCAACATAGGTCTCCTGGCTCAGAGATAGGGACACCTATCACTGCTCCACAAGCTTACCTCAAGTCAACAATTGTAAAGAAGGTGCATCTGATCTTAAACTGTTATGTATTCAAAGTGGGGACACTTGTGGTGCAGAGGTGCAGGATAACAACTCACAGAAAGCAGTATTATAGAATCCCTACAGTGTGGAAGCAGGCCATTCAGCCCATCAAGTCTACACCAAACCCCTGAAGAGCATCCCACCCAGATCCAACCCCTACCCATAACCCTGCATTTACCTTGGCTAACCCACCTACCCTACACACCTTCGACAATATGGACAATTTAGCATGGCCAATCCACCTAACCTGCATATATATTTGGACTGTGGGAGAAAACGGGAGCACCCAGAGGAAACCCGTGCAGACATGGGGAGAATGTGCAAACACGACATTGAGAGTCTCCCAAGCCTGGAATTGAACCTAGGTCCCTGGCGCTGTGAGGCAGCTGTGCTAACCACCGAGCCACCCCAGTAATGGAAATAAAATTGATATTACAGAAATGAGACCACTCAAACAACATTAACAAGCTTACAACTGGAACATTAATCTAGCATTAACAAAATTAGACATTTAAAACACAATATTTCATAAAATTCATTTCTGTATGGCTCTCACTGTCTTCTGCTCCACTCATACCTCATATAAAACAAAAGGATATGATGAATTATCTATTTAAAAGTTTAGTGACGGTGTGGAGGTGCCAGGACTGTGGTGGACTCACTAACACCTGAGGAAGTAGCGAGGCTACAAAAGCTTGTGTTTTCAAATAAACCTATTGGACTATAACTTCTAACTGATTGAAGACTTAACAGCATCTCAGGTTTGTTTAATACATCCTGATCAGTGGTGTGACCCTTTGATCTTTTACTTATAAATTCTGCACCTGATGTCTCTCTCACTAACACCTGAAGAAGGATCGAGGCTCCAAAAGCTTGTGTTTTCAAATAAACCTGTTGGACTATAACCTGGTGTCGTGTGATTTCTGACAAAGTTTAGTTAGCCAGAGTAAAGTGGGGATGGAGTGAGGAAGACAACCAGCTCCAGTTTTTAACTACCTCACAACCATTATAAAGTACTTGGATGAGCACTTGAAATGTCATAACATACAAGGCTATCAGCCTAGTGTCGGAAAGTGGGACCAGGGTAGATTTAGCGCTGTTTTGGCTGGATAGACTGAATGGCCTCTTCTGTACTGTATGATTTTGTGACTTCCCCCTGCCCACTTCCTCTGGATGATGAGACATGCCAGGAATTGGATTTTAATCAGTAGCAAAATGGGAGCTTCAACCCAGTGCCTGTATGTGCACAAGACAACCTGGAAAAGTGAACAAACTCACACCTTCCAGTGGGCCCCTTGTAGCTTGTTACCAGCAGAAATATTGCTTGCTCCATTGTCCTGGTCAGGAAAGGAGTAAGATAGAACCTAATGAAAGATAGACAAATGTACTCCTGAATTTTGTAACTCAAGAGATTACTTTTCAATTTTCAAAATGGTCTAAACTGCTCCTCACTTGGGACAATAACACCGTAAACAGCTGTAATAGCATGTTTCAGCCCTGCCTTTCTCTGGCAACCTGGCAGAAGTTGGGAATTCACTGTAGGGCTATGTGTGGCTGCTCTAATATAGGCACACTATAAAATTTGGGATCTGTACTTTGCCAAGAGAAAATCACATGCTGCAAGACAGCATACCACTTGATCTTCCATATAGCTCAATGCTGCTGTGGTTTATTTGCACTGTTTTTGGTTTAATTACATTTGGAAAGACAAACTGAACAATTACCATGACAACATTGGCCAAGTGTGCAGAACAGAGAGCGTAGACACCGCCAGAGGCTCCAACCACAGGTGCCCGCATGTCAGTGACAGAAACAGTCAGGGAGCCTGTAACACACAAAAACAGAATAATATGGAAGTAATTAGATTCATGGAATTTCCCTGCATGAATTCAATCAGCCAGGAATCATGCCCAGTATAGCAGGGAGCGCTCAAGGTATCTATGCTTCACCAACTATTCAATTTTGTGACCTGTTCAAGTCAGGACCCAGCTTCCATATCCTCATTAACTACGGATTTAAGCTGGTGACATTCCCAAACATCGACATTCCTGACTTCCAACCCACTTCTTACACAAATTTGTTTCATGCGAGGAATTCTTATCTGCATAACTGTCTACACCTTGACCTGCACCCCCTACTGGTCTTGTTCTTCCTCCCACCCCCCCCCTTCACCCCCCCCCATCACTCTATCTACCCCTTCCTCTCGTGCCTGTACTGCCTTCACTGATGCTGCACCTGATTTTCTGTGGTCTTAAACTTACACCAGGCTCCCCTGATGGCAAGCATATATGTTATGCCCGATTCCCTGGTGACCATTCTTATTTTTGGATGTTTACAGTCCCCTAGCATTCCAAACTTGGGAATCTACCCAGAGGCTAATATGTGTTTGAGGCTAGTATTCTTGCAGTGAATTTCTCATCAGTCAACAGCTTGTGATCACTAGGGCTCTGCTCACTTAGTAAAGGAGTCCTTGATTACTTAATAATGTAAGAGAAGTGATTGCAAGTCTGCAGCACATTTCCCATCTCTCCTGATTTTTATTTCTATTGACTGTCGCTCAAAAGCAAGATCTACCTGAATTGCTTCAAATTACTCGAGCTGTGGTTGCTTATCCTACTTAATCTAATATTTATGGATGTTTACATCATTATCAATGCCAACAATTCTGTGTTTTGAGAGAATGAGACACCCTATGAGCACTAGACTTCTAATGGTGGTCAATCAATACAACGACATCATACCCAAACTCAACTGGATGTTTCCGATCTATCGGAAATTCATTGTGGATCTTTATTTTTCTCTTCCTTATTTCATACTAAGATGTGCTCCAGTTGATATCCATTAACTGTTCATACTAGAAGCCTCTAGCATTTAGCCTCTACTTACAGAATGTACTTATTGTTCTGAGCAAGGAGGGACAATTACCAAGTATGTACTTAAATGATGCAAATATTGTCACTGTATTCACAGATCAATCACAGCCCGTTCTTATTATTTTTAATTTCAGTTTATACTAAGATTTGTTAGCCAGCTGTGATAGAGGTAATGAACGCTCAAGGGCAGATCCACAATTTAATAAAAGCAATAAAATGACTGTACTGCTCTAGCAAGACATGTCCAGCTGTTCCAATCAGTGAGATTATGGTTGCATTGTCTACTGATTTCATTTCACACATTTCAGGAAAGTATTCACCACCACTTGTTCTGAGATAACTTGCTAAAAACAGGTATCCTTACAGAAGAGGCTTCCATGGAGTGAAAAGGAGAATTGTCATTACTGTATTATTAGTCTGCACCAATCAATTCCAAAAAAGATCAATAACTTTGTGGAGTTTTGGTGAATGACAATTATGTTGCTGATAGCATGCTGAAAGGCTATAGTCTTCATGAGATAATGTTTAAAAATCTAGTGCAAAGAAAGGTCTCAAGAATGATCTATTTCAGTCCCACTGTACGTAAGGTCTAATAATGCAAGTCCTCTGTTAATTTGTCGTACAGTGGAGAGCACAAAGTGGCAACATTTTCATTGAACTTTCCTGTCTGGAATCAAAGAACCCCTATGGTGTGGAAGCAGGCCATTTGGCTCTTTGAGTCCACACCAACCCTCCGAAGACCGTCCCACCCAGACCCAACCCCCTAACCTATCCTCGTAGCCCTCCATTTCCCATGGAGAATCCACCTACCCTGCACATCCCTGGGCACTATGGGGCAATTTAGCATGGCCAATCCACCTAACCTGCACATCCTTGGACTATAGGAGGAAACAGGAGCACCCAGACGAAGCACACGCAGACACGGGGAGAATGTGCAAACGCCACACATCCACCCAAGAGTGGAATTAAACCGGGGTCCCTGGCGTTGTGAGGCTGCAGTGCTAACTACTGAGCCACTGTGCGAGGATGTCAACTGGTGATAGGGGTAGGACGTTATTGAGGGAATTACTCCAAGCAGTGGAAAACCCACTAAATGAGTAACATCCCACACCAAACTGCGTGTGTAGCTAGAACAGCAGGTCAGACACTGGGATTTCTACAGACAGAACATCTACAAGGTACAACCTGGGAGTGTGATGGAAAACTGTTCACTTGCCTAGATCATTGCGACTCCAACAACACTTAAGAAGCTTGACACCGTCCAGGCAAAATGACAGCCATACACTACCTTACATATTCACTCCGTCTACCACCACAGTGATAACAATGGGTGCCACATACAAGGCGCACTGTTGCAGAAGCTCGCAGACTAGTTAGACAGGAGACAAGAAGAGTTTTTCTCTTGAAATTGTTAGAATACTAAACAATAGAAAGGAATTGGGAATTTCCTTGTGGTCCCACTGCTCATAACAACCAATAGCATGGCCAGCTACATTTGTGACAAAATTACTGTAATGGGAAGCATAGCTATGATATAATTTTAGTGGCTTCTGGCTAATAAATGAAGATAGCCAGTGGCTTCTGTATCAGGGACATGGACAGGATGGTGCAGGGCCTTACATTGAGACTAGAGGCTATGGATGCATGAAGGCACCCAAGTGCAATGCGGGTTAGTCCTGGTTCTGCAACAGCAATACCCAAGAGATCAGTCATCAATTCTGGGACACTCTCTGTTAATTAGGAGGGCTGATAATCTAAAGTTCCCCCATTGGTACCTCATAATCCTGGCTCCAAAAACAGCTTGTCCCAGGTAAATAGACAAGGATAGCTGAGTGGGGCACTAGGTTTGGATTTTCATGGTATTAAATTAAGGCTGATGAAAGATAGTGACTTTTTAATTAGCAGTTATCCAGCATGTAAACTACTCCTGTCTTCAATGACAATATTTTCTGATGTTCTTTTAATGGGTAGTATTGCGCTTTAATTTTCAACAAATTAAAACCGACATTAAGATGGGACCGATAAAGAAACAGAGAGTGAATTTCCAGCATGATGCAATCATCATTTGTAGGCCACGCCTCATTTGTCCTGATGGTGGATGGAACATGAAAGTATACGAGCTCTCAACAAACTTCTGGTTTGCTAGGTCATTTCACTGTTATGAGTCCAACCGGGAAGGATTGCACATGCTGGTCCATTAAGGGCATTAGTGAATATGTTGAGTTCCTGTAGTGATTGGAATGAGGGTCAGGTGGATCTCATACTATGAGATTCTTGATTGGGCTTGTTAACCTCTGCCAGTCAGGGAGTCCTGGCTGACAGATATAAACAGGAGATTCAGACAGTCTCCAAATTCTAGGGTCTGGCTCTCAGCAGCCTGGTCAGAGCCCATGTACCGTGCATGTGTAAATAAAGGGTAACTTGGTGACGGGATACCAGCCTCTGTGCAGTTATTTCAGTTTTTAAAACAATCTCACAGTTATCTTAAATTCACTCATGGGATGTGGGCGTCACTGGCTGAGCCAACATTTACAATCTGGGGTTTAGGGTCAACCACATGCTGTGGGTCTGGAGTCACACATAGTCCAGCAGTTTCCCTTCCCTATAGGGAAAGTAAACCGGATGGGTTGCTAATGACAGATTTTTTAAATTGAAGGCAAATTCCACCATCTGGTGGAAGTCAAAGACCAGGCCCCCAGAACATTACCTGGGTCTCTGAATTAAGAATGTAGCAACAAAAAAAAATTCTGGCATTAAATGTTTAATGATGACGATGAAACAATTGTTGAGGAGGGATGGGGAAAGAATTCATCTGATTCATTAATATCCTTCGGGAAAGGGAACTGCATCATTACCTGGTCTGGCCCACATGTGACACCAGACAGCAATGTGGTTAACTCTTAGCTGTCCTTTGGGAAAATAAGGATGGGCAATAAACACTGATCTAGCCGGTGATGCCCTCATCCCATGAATTATTTTATTAAGAACAAACCTAAGCTTAGTCAACACCTCTAGCCAAGGGGTATAAAAGTTACACTTGTCATGTGCTTACCTTGGTCCAAAACCAGACACCTCTGCTTGTTAAAAAGATGAAAGAGTTAATTAATCAGCCCAGCTACAGGTCACTAAAGTTCAAAACTTGATTACATCATGGGATGGAAAATATTCATGAGTGAGAAACAGGCAGTTTTAATTTAATGGTTCTGTCAGGCAACTGGCCTTCATCCCGATACAGGGTCAATCATTAATTGAATAAAAGCAAAAGTTCATCTCCACTTTGCGATAAATGTTCCGTCTGCTGGATCAATCCGTGGCACAACTCAGGCAATGTCACAGAACTGTCAACATTTTGAAGAAAGTAAAACAAAAGTACAAATAGGTGCAATTTTATTTGTTGCCACAGATCAGTGTTAGAATTCAGTTCAAGCAACCACCCTTGCTTTTGCCTGCCTGCCGGGTTAGTGGCACGTTACAATTGTCAGGTTACTTAGATGCCCAGGAGCTGGCAACTCCTGATTTTAACCTGCTCAACGGAGAAGATAACCAAAGTTGCCAGTTTCCTTGCTTAAACCTACACATTCGCTCCCAATGAATTGTAATCAGGGCACGCCTGTAAAGCTCACTCTTCTGAGCAACAGAGCTGCCTCAATCTCCCCGATTGCAGATCGTCTCAAGGATTGCCCCAGCAGCCCATCTCGTCATCTGACTTGTCTCAGGAGGGGATTTTCCACCATTACTGATCAACTTCTTGGTCCAGACAGACAGAAAGTAAGCGAGCATTATTTCATTGAGGCATGGGAGTTCAAATACCCTGAGCCTGATCTCTGCAACAGCTGATTAATTACTAACCCTGAGCCCTTGAAACTGGCCAGTGCTAAAATCAGGTCCCAGGCTAGAACACACAACTACTGTCTGAACAGCTCACACTCACACACCTACTGTCTGAAACATT